CATAAAGTGCAGAATCAATCACTCAATCTATTTCAAAGCTTGAAATCTAGATCCAAAATCAATTAAACATGTTCATTTCAGATCGACAATCCCTAACTATGAAAGAATTACATAGCCATGACAGCAGAGGAAGAAAAAGAAAGAGAAGAAGAGAAGAAGAAACTCAGAATTGCCATGGAAGCTGCTTCACTCCAATGCCTCTTCGTGAAGCTCCAAGATTCGAATCCTCACTCCTCTCTCTCACTTCCTCTAACGGGAATCTAACTAACAAAACTGAAAATGAACAGAATCCTTTAATTTCGGAACGTTTCTGATATTTATAAAATTTCCTAGCGCATCATCACTTTTATGAGAAATAGTAGCTACGCAGAAGTTTTATGGTTGCACGTTAACACTTTTTTGAGAAAAAGTGGCCACGTGCAACTTTCCTGATATTGACCGTATCTGGAACTATCACTTTTCTTGATAAAAGTGGCAACGCATAACTCAAGTGGTTGCACGTGATCACTCTTATGAGAAAAAGTGATTACGCGTAACTCGCCAAGTTGAAGGCTCTCTGGAACGTTCATTTTCGATGATAATAGTGGTAACGCCCAGGCTTCACTTCTTCTTTGAGCTCTGGAGTGATCACTTTTGTTGACAATAGTGATCACACCCAGTCTGTACTTTTTTGTTCTTGTGTTTTTGGAGTCCAGACTTGCTTCTTTCTTCTTCCTTGTCATCAAGCCTTCATTTTCATGATCTTTGCTCCAATTATTCCTTCAAAAATAAGATTAAAAACTTAATTCCTAAGTAAAATTTTCACAATTGCTAAGATAGCTACAAATTTAAACAAAACAGTAAAGATTCATATATTTTTCTTATCAAATGTGTTAGAATTATGCTAGAATATCAGTAAAAATATAGATTCATCACTGCTCCAATTCTTGTTAAACCTGACTGGACTATACCATTTTAGCTAATGTGTGATGCAAGTGACAATGCAGTGGGTGCTGTATTAGGACAAAGAAAAGATAAAAGACTGCATGTGATTTACTTTGCTAGTAGAGGCCTAAACTCTGCACAGATTAATTACACAACCACTGAAAAAGAGTTGCTTGCTATAGTATTTGCTTTTGATAAGTTCAGGTCTTATTTAGTAGGGTCCAAGGTTGTGGTATATATTGACCATGCTACTCTGAAATATTTGCTTTCTAAGCAGGATGCTAAACCAAGACTGCTGAGATGGATTCTACTACTTCAAGAATTTGAGTTAGAAATTCGAGATAAGAAAGGAAAAGAGAATAGTGTTGCAGATTATCTATCCAGAATTCCGTTGGACACATTGCCATCAGATTACTTGGATATTAATGAAGAATTTCTTGAGAAAAAGCTGCTAACTGTGGATGAATTACCTTGGTTTGCTGATATAGCAAATTTTAAGGCCACTCAGCACATTCCAAAGAGAATGAATTGGCAGCCAAGAAAGAAATTTCTTCATGACAACAAGTTCTATATTTGGGAAGATCCCCATCTATTCAAAATTGGAGTAGATGGCATTTTGAGAAGATGTATTCCACAGAAAGAACAAGCTGATATCCTATGGCATTGCCACAATTCAGATTATGGAGGCCATCATGGTGGATCAAGAACAGCTGCCAAAGTATTACAAGCTAGATTTTTCTGGCCTACATTGTTCAGAGATGCAAAAATTTATGTAGAAAACTGTGATAAATGCCAAAGAGTTGGTAACATTTCTAGAAGACATGAGATGCCTTTGAACAATATCTTGGAGGTGGAACTGTTTGATGTATGGGGAATAGACTTTATGGGACCCTTTCCAACTTCTTTTTCTCATGAATACATACTTGTGGCAGTGGATTATGTGTCTAAATGGGTGGAAGCTATACCAACCAGAACAAATAAAGCCAAAGTGGTGATTTCCTTCATAAAGAAAAACATTTTTTCAAGATTTGGAGTGCCAAGAATTCTAATTAGTGATGGAGGATCACACTTCTGCAATAAATACCTTGATAATGCTCTAGATAAGTATGGAGTAAAACACAGAGTAGCAACTCCTTATCATCCTCAAACAAGTGGACAAGTGAAATTTCAAACAGAGAAATCAAGAAGATCTTAGAGAAAGTAGTCAGTAACTCAAGAAAAGATTGGTCAAGAAAGCTTGATGATACATTATGGGCATACAGAATTGCATTCAAAACACAAATTGGTATGTCACCATATCAATTAGTGTTTGGGAAATCATGTCATCTTCCTGTGGAACTTGAACATAGAGCATATTGGGCTACTAAATGGCTAAATTTTGATTCAACCAAGGCTGGAGAAAAGAAAGTGCTACAGCTACATGAACTGGAGGAATTCAGACAATTTGCATATGAAAATGCAAAACTATATAAAGAAAGGACTAAAAGAATACATGACAGATTCATCCTGTAGAGAGAATTCAAACCAGGGCAGCTAGTTCTACTATTCAACTCTAGATTGAAGTTGTTCCCTGGAAAGCTCAAGTCTAGATGGTCAGGACCTTTTATGGTAAAGGAAGTATCTCCCTTTGGTGCTGTGTTACTTAAAGATCAGAGAGAAGGGAGAAAGTTTAAAGTCAATGGTCAAAGACTGAAGATTTACAATGGAGGAGAATTCAATAGGAACACCTTTTGCATTAACTTGGTTTCTTAGCAGTGAGGAACATTTAACGTCAAGCTAGTGACGTTAAAAGAGCGCTTTGTGAGAGACAACTCACATTTCTAAACCATTTTTACTCTATTTGCATTTTACTTAAACTTTTGTTAATTCTTTATTTCAATTTCTGTAATTTTCTGATTTTAGATTCTGTTTTATATGTGTTTTAGGAATAATGTGTTAATTCAATGAAGGTTCATGTTGTGGATGCATAAATGAGATGATTGAAATTGAATGCATGAGGCAATTAAGTTTGTAAGGAGCTTTGAATAACAAAAGGAGTCACTATTTTGCAGAAAAGTGATCACGCAGAGCTTCAATTACAGGGTTCCATTATGAACAATCACTTTTGCTAATGAAAGTGATCACGCAGAGGAGCAAGGAACGAACCCTTCTCTGGAACAATCACTTTTCCGAGTGAAAGTAACCATGCCTAGGTTTAAATAAAGGTAATGTGATGCGCATAGTTACTTTTTCCAATAATAGTGATCACGCGCATGAGTAATGTGTAGTTACAAGTTAAGGTTGATGCGCGTTACCACTTTTTCTAAGAAAGCAAGCTACGCGTTATCACTTTTGTTCACAAAAGTGAATGTTACAAAGAGACCTCTAACACTGCAGAGTTGCGCGTTCTCCTTTTATCCACAAAAGTTAACACGCACAGATCTCAATCTCAGTGTGACTACTTTTATGAAGAATATCTTAGCTCAGATATCTTAGGATCTTTTGTTCATTTTTCATTTTCACTTAGTTTTCTGGTGTGGAGAGAGACTGAGAGAGTGATTGGGGATGAACATCGAACTTCAACCTAGAGGAATCAGATTGAAGATCAATTGAAGATTCTTCTTCTGTGTTTATTCTCCTCTTCTCTCTTTTTCTCTTTTTTCTGTTGTAATGGCTGCTTGAACCTTTCGTAGTTAGGGATTGTGAATCCAAAACGAATGTGTTGAATTGATTCTGGATCTGGATTTTGAGTATTGGAATGGATTGAGTGATTGATTCTACATTTTTCGTGGTGATTGAATGGAAGTTTGATTAGCTAATTATAGAGAAACGCTTATCAATGGAAATTGAACTTGTTTCTCATATCTGAATCAATTATCAGGATTATAGATTTCTTAGGAATAAGATAACTTGATCTTGCAATCTTCTGGTTTCTAACACTTAAAGAAACATTTAATTGAACCAGATCTAAGGAATTAGAGTGATTTAATTGAATGTTAGATTCATTAAGTTAAGGAATTAACCTTTGATTAAAATAACGTGAAACTGATTGTCATTCCTTCTAATTACTTGAATGTTCAGAACTTTGTTGATTCAACACTGAAGTTTTGGTGAAACAACTCCCTAACTATGTTCTATACATTTGTTAATCACATAATTACATGTTCATTGTTTTGTTTTCCTTTCTGATTTTAATATCTGTCACTTTTATCTCCAAAATCCATCTGAAATTCGTGATGCTCAACAAATTGTGGACTTTGTGAAGTGATAATTGAGTACTTTATTCCCTGAGGATGGTATTTGGGACTCAAACACAGTTCTATCATTTTTATAACTTGCTACAATAACATTAGTACACTTACTAGTCAAATTTACTTTTGTTTCGAAGGTGACAGAAATTATGAGGATAAAACGCATAACAGACAAATGCAAGAACGGAGAAGAAGAGGGAAGAAGTAGTACACTAAAAATAGGGCAAGAAAGTGCAAAACAAAGTACCTTTGTAATGCTCCAACATTTTGATTTTAGGGTTCGGAAGAGAAAATAGGGGAGATAGCGAAGATGGAGAGGGTTATAAAAACATAAAGTGAGATGAGTGGGTGTGCTTGGTTAGTGATGAAAGCGTCAAGAGGAACTGTAGAGATGTGGTCTGAGTATGTTACCGCCAACTGCTGGGCTTCCTTCCTCTTTTTCAAATATAAAACTAAATTGAAATGGCAAAAGAACATAGGATAAGGACACTAAGGGATTATGCAATTCCAAATATGCAAGGCTATAACTCTTCAATAGTTAGACCAACCATTCAAGCTAATCACTTTGAAATAAAACCAGCCTTACTTCATTTGGTACAACAGGATCAATTTTTTGGTGGAATTTCTGATGATCCTAACCTGTATATTTCTAATTTTCTGCAGTTATGTGACACTATAAGGATGAATGGAGTTAGTGACGATGCTATAAGACTGAGGCTATTTCCATTTTCTTTGAGAGACAAGGCCAAGTGTTGGTTAGAAGCACAGCCTCAAGGGAGCATCACCACATGGACAGAGCTTGTGAACAAATTTTTAACCAAGTATTTTCCTCCATCAAAAGCTGCCAAACTGAGAGGAGAAATCATATCCTTTATGCAACTAGAAGGGGAATCATTATATGAAGCCTGGGAAAGATATAAAGAGTTGCTAAGAAGATGTCCACAGCATTGTATTTCAGAGTGGATGCAGTTGGAAACCTTTTACAACGGAATGAATGTAGTGACTAGAACCATGGTGGATGCAGTTGCAGTAGGTTCTTTAAGCATGAAATCCTTAGAAGAAGCTCAAAGAATCATTGAGATGATGGTTTCATCTATGTACCAAAACTCCAACTGAAGAAATGCAGGGAGAAGTAATGGATATGAAGCCAAAGTTATAGAAACCTTTCTTGCACAAAATCAGCTGCAGAATCAATTATTTTCTGAGCAAATAGCAACTCTGACTCAACAGATCAGCAATCTACAAGCTGAAAATGTGGTAACCAATCAATTGAGCTGTGATTTTTGTGGAGGGAATCATGTTAATGGTGCATGTGATGTACCTACACCAAATCCACAAGAGCAAGTCAATTACATGGGGAATTATCAAAGACAACAGCAATCTTATCCTCAACAATCATTTCCTCCTGGATTCCAACATTCAAATAACAAGAATCAATAGTTTTATAAATGGAATCCTCAAAATTCTGCTATCAAAAACACTAGTCCCTTTCTTCCATTTTTGAATGTAGGAACTTCACAACAACAACAATATTTTCAAGGAAATTCTTCTATGCAATTTCAAAGGAGTCAGAATTCAGCTAGACCTATGAATGAAAGGATGAATGAAATTGAAGAAACAATGCTGCAATTTATGAAAGTCACTCAAACCAGCATTAAAAATCAAGAAGCTTCCATGAAGAAGTTAGAAACTCAAATTGGACAGTTGGCTGAACAACTAACAAATAGAGATGAAGGGAGATTTCCAAGTAACACAATGATAAATCCAAAATAGCAGTGTCAAGCTATAACCACAAGGAGTGGAGCTGCGGTAGCCAGTCCCAAACCTGCAGAAAAGAAAGTGAGTAATGCAACAGAAGAATGAAGAAGAGAAAAAGATCTGCAGCAAGGAAATTTCAAGTTACTTAAGAGAGAACATTTAGAAAATAAGGGAGAAACTCATACAAATTCTGAGAGAAAGACCAAGGAACAACTTTTTGAGGATGCTTGCAAACCAATAGATCCAAAAAATTATAAGAGGTTGTCTTATCCTCAAAGAGTGCAGAATCCTAAGCAAGAGGAGCAGTTTGAAAGATTTCTGAATGTGTTCAAGAAATTACATATCAACATTCCTTTTGTAGAAGCCTTGGAGTAGATGCCATCTTATGCCAAGTTCATGAAGGAATTGCTCTCCAAGAAAAGGAAATTGGAACATGATAGGACAATGCCATTAACAGAGGAATGCAGTGCCATTCTAAAAAGAAAGCTTCCTTAAAAACTCAAGGATCCAAGATCCTTCAGCATACCTTGTGAGATAGGAAATTGTACTGTGTGAAAGGCATTGTGTGATTGGAAGCAAGCATTAACTTAATACCATTAGCTATCATGAAGAAATTAGGAATAGAAGAACTGAAACTAACCAACATTACATGGCAATTAGTTGATAGATCATATACTTATCCCTATGGAGTGGTAGAAGATTTGTTGGTTAAGATTGATAAATTCATTTTTCCTGCAGACTTTGTCATTCTAGATATGGAGGTGGATGCGAACATACCTTTGATTCTAGGCAGACCATTCCTTGTAACTGGAAGAGTTCTCATTGATGTGCAAAAGGGAGAGCTCATGCTTAGAGTTCAAGATGAAAAGGTAATATTTAATGTGTTTGAAGCATTAAAATATCCGATTGATGATAACATATGTATGAGAATGGATATATTGGATTCTCTTATTACTCCTTATTCTTTTGATGAGTTTGATGAAATTTCTGTGTTGAGAGAAACCATAGCTGCAGGAAATACTAAATCTTTGATGATTAAAAAAGAATACCTTCTGGAAATTGAGCAGCAATTGGAATCTCTATCAGTTCTAACCCCTGCAGAAAAATCAATCAATGAAGAGCTGAAAAAGGAAGTGAAAGAAGAGCAAACTCAGAAATTGGAGCTCAAACAACTGCCTTCTCATTTGAGATATGCATTCTTGGACCAAAAATATGAAAATCCAATCATCATTAGTAATGAACTCAAGGAAGAAGAGGAGGAGAAGCTACTGAGAATTCTGAGAGAACACAAATCAGCAATAGGATAGAGCATTTCAGATTTGAAAGGTATAAACCCAGCCTTTTGCAAACATAGAATTTTGTTTGAGGAAAATTTTAAACCAGTTATGCAACCTCAAAGAAGGTTAAATCCTGCTATGAAGGAAGTAGTAAGGAAGAAGGTCATGAAACTATTAGATGTAGGGATTGTATATCCTATTTCAAACAGTAGCTGGGTGAGTCCTGTACAAGTGGAGGAATGACTGTGGTACCAAATGAAAAAAATGAGTTGATACCTACAAGGACAGTAACGGGATGGAGGATGTGCATAGATTATAGAAGGCTGAATGATGTGACCAAACAAGACCACTTTCCTCTACCTTTTGCACACCAAATGCTAGAAAGGTTAGTTGGCCATGCATTTTATTGCTTTTTAGATGGATATTTTGGCTATAACCAAATTGCTGTAGATCTAATTGACCAAGAAAAAACTGCATTTACTTGTCCCTTTGGAATATTTGCGTATAGAAGGATGCCTTTTCGGCTTTGTAATGCTCTAGCTACATTTCAAAGGTGCATGTTAGCTATTTTTTCTGACTTGGTTGAGAAGATAATTGAAGTATTTATGGATGATTTTTCTGTGTTTAGAAATTCATTTGATGACTGCCTATTTAATCTGTCCACTATTTTGCAGAGATGCCAAGACACCAACTTGGTGTTGAATTGGGAAAAATCTCACTTTATGGTACAAGAGGGAATAGTGCTTGGCCATAAGATTTCAGTTAGAGGGATGGAGGTGGATCAAGCAAAAATTGAAGTGATTAGTAAACTTCCCTAACCTGTGAATGTAAAAGGGATTAGAAGCTTTTTAGGCCATGTAGGGTTTTATAGGAGGTTCATTAAAGATTTTTCTAACATTGCCAAACCTCTTAGTGACTTGCTAGTTAAGGATGTAGCATTTGTATTTGATGAATCATGCCTGCATGCTTTTTTCATTTTAAAAGAGAAGCTGATTTCTGCTCCAATACTTGTTAAACCTGACTGGACTTTACCATTTGAAATTGTGTGATGCAAGTGACAATGCAATGGGTGCTATATTAGGACGAAGAAAAGATAAAAGACTACATGTGATTTACTATGCTAGTGGAGTCCTAAATTCTGCAAAGATTAATTACACAACCACTAAAAAAGAGTTTGTTGCTATAGTGTTTACTTTTGATAAATTCAGATCTTATTTGGTAGGATCCAAAGTTGTGGTATATACTGACCATGCTGCCTTGAAATAATTGTTTTCTAAACAGGATGTCAAACCAAGACTGCTGAGATGGATCCTGCTACTTATAGAATTTGAATTGGAAATTAAAGACAAGAAGGGAAAAGATAATGATGTTGCAGATCATCTATCTCGAATACCCTTGGAAGCATTGCAATCAGATTGCTATGACATTAATGAGGAATTTCCTGATGAAAAGCTGTTGGTTGTGGAAGACCTACCTTGGTTTGCTGATATAGCAAACTTTAAGGCTACTCAGCATATCCCAAGGAGAATGAGTTGGCAGCAGAGGAAGAAGTTTCTTCATGATAGCTTGGGAAGATCCTTTTCTATTCAAAATTGGAGTAGATGGTATATTGAGAAGATGCATTCCACATAAAGAGCAAACTGATATCCTATGGCACTACCACAATTTAGATTATGGAGGCCATCATGAAGGATCTAGGACAGCTGCCAAAGTTCTACAAGCTAGTTTTTTCTGGCCTACATTGTTCAAAGATGCAAAAGTCTATGTAGAGAATTACAACAAATGCCAAAGAGTGGGCAACATTTCTAAAAGACATGAAATGCCTTTGAACAACATCTTAGAGGTGGAACTGCTTGATGTGTGGGGAATAGACTTTATGGGACCTTTTCTAACCTCTTTTACTCATGAATATATATTGGTGGCAGTAGATTATGTATCTAAATGGATGGAAGTTATACCAACTAGAACAAATGAAGCCAAAGTGGTGATTTCATTCATAAAGAAGAACATTTTTCCAAGATTTGGACTACCTAGAATTCTGATAAGTGATGGAGGATCACACTTCTGCAACAAATACCTTGAATCTGTTCTAGAAAAGTATGGAGTAAAACACAGAATAGCAACACCTTACCATCCTTAAACAAGTGGACAAGTTGAAATCTCTAACAGAGAAATCAAGAAAATCTTGGAGAAAGTGGTGAATAATTCAAGAAAAGACTGGTCAAGGAAGCTGGATGACATAGTTTGGGCAAACACCAATTGGTATGTCACCATATCAATTAGTATTTGGAAAGGCTTGTCATCTTCCTGTAGAACTTGAACATAAAGCATATTGGGCTACTAAATGGTTAAATTTTTATTTAACCAATGCTGGAGAAAAGAGAGTGCTACAACTACATAACCTGGAAGAGTTTAGACAGTTTGCATATGCAAATGCAAAGCTGTATAAGGAGCGGACTAAAAGAATACATGATAAATTCATTTTGCAAAGAGTGTTCAGACTAGGGCAGCTAGTTCTGCTATTCAATTCAAGATTAAAGTTATTTCCTGGAAAGCTCAAGTCAAGATGGTTAGGACCCTTTATGGTGAAAGAAGTTTCTCCCTTTGGTGCTGTATTACTTGAAGATCAGAAAGAAAGGAGAGAATTTAAAGTAAATGGTCAAAGGTTAAAAATCTACCATGGAGGAGAAGTCATCAAGAATAATTTTTGCATTAACTTGGTTGCTTAGCAGTGAGGAACATTTAACGTCAAGCTAGTGACGTTAAAAGAGCGCTTTGTGAGAGGCAACTCACATTTCTGAACCATTTTACTCTATTTGCATTTTACTTGAATTTTTGTTATTCATTTTACTTCAATTTCTGAAATTTTACTTTCTGTGATTCTGTTTCATCTATATTTTGGAGATAATTTGTTGAATGAATTGAGGTTTCATGTTGTGAATATGTATTGAAAGGATTATAGTTGAGTAAGTGAGCTACCTGAGTTCTTTAAAGGCTTTGATTGATGAAAGGAGTTACTATTTTTCAGGAAAGGAGTCACACAGAAGTTGCAGGTTAATGTGCCCCTCTAGAACAATCACTTTTCCTGACAAAAGTGGTCACGCAGAGGTACGAAGGATAACACACCCTTCTGAAACAATCACTTTTACTGACAAAAGTGATCACGCAGATGTCTAAAGGAGATGCCTCTTTCTGGAACAACCACTTTTCTTGAGAAAAGTGGCCATGTGCAGGTAAGTATGAGATAGTAAGCTTACTCCTATTCTTGAAAATAGTAATCGCGCTTAGAGAGTAAGTTGCACATTATCACTTTTCCCAGAAATAGTGATAACGCATAGTCCATTCCAAAAATTTGAAAAATACATAGCTCTCTGGAATGCTTACTTTCACCAACAAAAGTAACCATGCACAAGAAGTAAGCTTGCATGTTATCATATTTCTCTCATCATTCTTTTGAGATTCTTATCTTTTGTGAGTTGTTTGTTAGAGCAATTTGTTCTTTATAGCACATTTGAGTCGACATTGCAGCAACTCTATTCCAGGTAAGTTCCTCTTCATTCTTGTAGCAAAGATTAGGGTTCTTCATTGTTGAAAATTCTGGAAAACTCTGAATATGAAAACTGAGAGAATTTTCTGATAATAATTTATCTGAACCTGAGATTAAAGGATAATGTAGCTCATTTCTTACTTCATTTGGCAATTTCATTAGATGAATCATACCTACATTGTAATATTTGAGTGAATTGACCTAAAGGACGTTATTGAAAAATGTTAAACTAAAATTTCTTATTGTTATAAAAACTGAATGACTGAGAATTTTACATGAAAAAAAAAAGAATCTTTCCACTGAGAGTGAGTGAATTAAAGCTTAATTGAAAATGCTTATTGATAATTCTAAAGATGAATTTGTTTGTATTATTTTCATACTCTATGCTAAAACTAAAAGGCATAGGAATATTCAATATGAATTTTGATATTGTTCTACATTAGGGATACAAACTATTATTTCTTTGATTTGGATTGATAATGTCCTGCATTTGCATGTTACATTACATTGTAGGTATAAGTAATTGTAGTAATTCATTATAGCATATTATATTTTAGCATGCTTAAATGAACTTTTCTAGCAGGAATTTAAAAAATGGCAAGAACATCAGACAACACTCTAGTTGGATCTTCAAGGGGAACTCCAAGAACAAAGCGGGGGAGAATAGCAGGAGCTTCTTCCTCAAGGAAAATTCCTCAACATGACCCAAGATTCAAAAGCCTAGCACATGAAAACTACTTCAAAGCTAATATTCTAAGGAGGAAAATAGTCTAGTACAGAGCTTTTGAAATTGCTGAAGACCATTACCCAGAATACAAAGAAGAGATTCAAAAAAGAGAGTGAGAATCCTTCTGCTCAATAGCTGGAATAGGATGGAGGGAAATTACACAAGAATTCTATGCCAATGTCATGAGATTCAAGGGAGATCAGATACCAAAATACCACACCATGGTCAAGGGAATGAGGGTAGATTTCTCTACTGACAACATCAACACTCAAACACAACCTGGACAATAAGAATTCAGTGCTTTCAAGGATTTTCAAGACAAGGACTATGCTGAAATCTTGTAAAGGATTGGAAGACCAGGGACTACTTGGGAGCTGAACACAACAGAGAAACCCAAGTGCATCACCACCAAGAACCTCCTACTGTCACACTCTTTACAACTGCTGTTGCAATGAAGGTAAACTGACTAGCAAGTGTACTAGTGTTGTTGTAGCAAGTTATAAAAAATCTTAGAATCAAATTGAGTTCCAAGTATCGTCCTCAGGGAATAAAGTTCTCAATTACCACTTCACAAGACCACAATTAGTTGAGCTTTACAAATTTCAGATGGAATTGGTATGAATGTATCAAAAATGAAATTAGAAAGTAAAACAGAATAGTTAGTACAAAAGTATATAGTAAATAGATGTAGAAAGAGTAGTTAGGAAATTGTTTCACCAAAACTTCAACATTGAATCAATAAAGTTCTGAACTTTCAAGCATTTAGATGGAATGACAATCAGTTTCACGTTGTATTAATCAAAGGATAATCCCTTGCCTCAATGAATCTAGCATCTAATCAAATTACTCCAATCCCTTAGATCTAATCCAATCAAATGCTGCATTAAGTTTGAGAAACCAAAAGATTGCAAGATTAAGATATCTTATCCCTAAGAAACCAATAACCTTGGTAATTAATTCAGATCTGAGAAACAAATTCAATTCCCATTGATAAGAGTTCCTCTATGATTAGTTGATCAAATTTCCAATCAATCACTACTTTAACAGCAGAATCAATCACTCAATCCAATCCAAAACTCAAAGTTCAGATCCAAAATCAATTCAACATTTCCATTTCAGATTCACAATTCCTAACCACAAAGAGTTTAAGCAAACATTACAAAAAGAGAAGAGAAGAGAAGAGGAGAAGAGAATGAACAAAGAAGAAACATCTTCAAGCCAATCTCCAATCTAATCCCTCAAGAAATGAAGCTTGGTGTTCGTCCTCAATCTCCCTCTCTGACTCTCTCAACAACAAAAACAAATGGAAAATGAAAAATGAACAAAAACTCCAAAATTCCTGAGCTAACTGCCTTTTATAGAATTCTCGCTCTGCTGGCGTGATCACTTTTTCCAACAATAGTAATCATGCAGAGGCTAATTCTTCATTTCCACTTGCGCGTGTTCACTTTTGCTGGTGATAGTAGCCATGCGCACTTTAAAGTGTTCACTTTTGTTGAAAATAGTAGCCACGCAGAAGCTTCCTTTGCTAATGTCATGCGCGTGTTCACTTCTGCTGGAAATAGTGAACATGCAGAAGCTGCTTTCTTGCGCATGTTCTGGAACGATCACTTTTGCCAGCAAAAGTGATTACGCAGAAGCTCTTCTCCATTTTATGGTTCTGGAGTGATCACTTTCACCAGCGAAAGTGATCACTCAGAGGCTGTTCTTCAATTATCAACTTCTTTCCTTCAAGTTTTGCTACTTTTCTTCTATTTTTCCTTTGATCATCCAATCCTCATGAACTTAGCTCAGAATTCCCTACAAAGGCATACTTGAAATGTCACTTTTTACATAGAAAATCAATGAATTTTAAAATAACTATGTTTAAAAGTGACATGCAACATTTTATTAATTTTTTAAGAGTTTTCTACTATTTCTAGCATGTTTTCTTTATTAATTGCACTAAAAACTATTGTAAAATACTAGTAAAATATGGATTCATCACTACCCCAAACTTGAATTTTTGCTTGTCCTTAAGCAAATTAGAACATATCAAGGGTGTAAATTCTTATTAATTGGAATCCAAAAACTTTTTACATTTTTCAAAAAAATTCATATTAAGAATCCATTTTACTTTAATGCATTCTAGTTGTTTTCTCACTAAGTCATTCACCAATTCTACATCATGATAGTCATACTTGACTTATCTATTTGCTGCACAATCTCATTCATTTCAATCAAGCAAATCATTAAAGCTACATGCAAACAGAGTTGAGAAACATTATCACAGCTCTCAGAAAGTGTTTCTCTAGCTCAATTAGTGTTTAAGCTTGTGTTTGCTCTCAGCATCACCAAATTCATCAAACTCTGCCATAAGCTTGCCTATATTCTCTACCTCCTTTGCAAATTTACAATTAATCACATATCAAGAGGACTTTTTAGGTAATATTAAGGCTCAAGGACAGGTATGATTTCAATGAATTCAGGATATAATTGCAGCTAATTTCAAACAGAAAAAGATGCAAATTGAGTAGATAAGCTTTTAAACTTAGTAAGGGCTGCATCAACTGTTTCTATTCTTAATCAACTTTCAATCACAGTTTAAATTTTTGTAGAATTATCTACCAATTTCCTTTTCCTTTTTGATTTGCTGATTTCTTTTTATTTCTTTTTCATTTTTCTATTTTTACTTGCAGCTTGTTACTTCTTTTTCATATTTTCTCTGCATGACTTTTTCTAACTTTCTTAATTCATTTCAATCCTTTTCTCAATCCTTTCTACCCCAAACTTAGAACATTGCTTGTCCTCAAGTAATGCACTAGAAACATGATGTTACCCCAAACTTAGTTTTAAAACTTATCTTTGATTCAACTCAATTTGCCTC